CCCGTGATTCCCACCCCTCTCAAAAACACTCCGAATCCCAAAAGGCTTCCTTTCCTCTGACAAAAGCTACTACATCCTTAACAGGTGAGGGAAAGGGTCGGCCACAGACACCTATAAGAAGAATAAAGTATATTCTTCTTCCAGTGGAGGAAACGTTGGTGTTTTTTGTCTTTATTTTTGTTTTTCGGAGGGGAGATTATTGTCAAATCTTGGTTTGGGCCGGAGAGGAAAAGACAGACGTATCACAGACACACCAACAGAAACCACTGAGACCCGATGCATAGCAGTGTATTTTCCACCTGAGTAGTTCTTGATAACAAAAGAGATCAGAAACAGTCTCTTTTTTGTCTGCGTTTTCTGGTAAATATCCGGTGACCTCTTTTGATTTACATTTCTTGTTGTGGCTATGCAATATTCCTGGTTTGGCGACCCGGGTTTTGAAACCGTTGCTCAGCAAACGGTCCTAAACGCATCCCTGAAAGCAGCTCCCAGTCTCCCCCCCATCCTCCCCCAGACTCCCCCAGACTCTCCGGTTCAATCCCAGTCCTGTGCCCACTGTCCTGATTTGGCTCCGAGCGGCCATCGGACAGCAGCCGGCCCCTCTGAAGGACCCCGGGCTGCCCGGTCTGGCGCCAGAGTCCGGCTGAGCTCCGCATATGCCGCGCTCAGCTTGCCTGAACGCACAAAAATAAAAAAAATAATAAAAATCAGGTGTGCGGCGAAATGACGAAGCAAAGCAAGCCGTCCACTCCTGCAACCCCCCCCCTCCCCCCACCCCCGATAGTTACAGTCACCCTGCTATCTCCCCTCTGTTTTTTGTGGCTTTTTCCAGATAGATTCAGCAAGGATGTTTGATAGCAGTGCAGGGAAAATAACATTTCGAGGTCAAATTTGGGGAAAAAAATAAAACAAAACCAAAAAAAAAGAGAAGTTTGGAGAGTTAGTGGCCGGTGTCAGAGTGACCTCAGTCTGGGGCTGGGGACGCTCCGGTGGAGGAGCTGATAGAGACACAGAAACAAGAACATTTTTACAGAAGTATGCTCAAGTACAGCTCAAGTGCACAAGTCGCTCATAAAGCCAATTCGGTTTTGATAATCTAATCCGAAACGGCGCCGTCCACCCAGTGGGCAGAGCTTCTGACCGGCCCCCTGGGGCTCCTTTAACCCTCTCAGAAGGTTAAAACAGACCCAAATCACCACCAGCCCTCAGACCAAAGGTATTTCTAAACATCACCCATCACGAGACAGAAATCTCCCCTGTTAAGTTAAAAAAAAGAATCAGAAACAGCATCTGTCACCTCGACACAGAAGAGCTCAGTCAGGGGCCAAAACCTTTCAAATGTTTTCAGAGAAGCTTCACTGATGTCTGGATATTTGTGAAATATCTTAAAATAAAAAAGAAATAAGATTTCTCTCCTTTACAGTTACACTGAGAATCTCTTCAAGAGTCATCAGTTTAAAGAAATAAAACTCCAACACGAGACCGATAGCTTAAAATGCCCAGTGATGAGAATGAAAGCCTTTTGTTTTTTGCTTTGGTATTTGTCGTTTCTGGACGTCTGTGTGTGTAATAAACTGTACACGGTTACTCTACGGGAGGGGTTGGATGGACTCTTTATGAGGCCGCTGCGTGTTGACCACACAGCTCTGTGCTCACGGAAACTGTCCGGCTCCCATAAGCAGGATGAGGACTTTTAAACATTAGTGCAAACTTTTGCTCTCTCAGCTAAAGCACCATTTCCAGTGCTATCAGGCTTTGTATCCATAACCCCCCCCCACCCCAACCCCCAAGCACCCTTTTAGCCCACCCTCCTGGCACAGCATCCCAAAAAACCACGACCCCAAACCCCAACACACATGCTCACAAACACACGCACGGCCGCGTAAAACCGGGAGGAAGAAACAGAGAAAACAACATCTTATTTTAAGAAAAACGAATGTAGACGGACAGAAAACCCTACGCCACCTTAAACCTCCGACTGAGTGAGAGGACACAAACTCAAGTAAATATCCACATGAGGCCAAACTCTGAGTGGCCTGGTCTGGGAGGCCACCGCTAGCTAACCGACAGACAGCTAAAAGGGAGAACCAAAAACTTTGGTTAATCAAACTACATTTAGGGGGGAAAACGTTTAAGGTCTGGTGACGATGGCTCACAGGTAAAAAAACAAACAAAAAAACGTATGGGTTTAAACAGACGACATGAGATCATACTGGTCAGCGACCAGTATCAAGACCCCAAAAGACGAAGCCCAAACCTGAGGAAGGCCAGGAAGGGGTAAACAAAGAGCGAACGCACATAGTAGTTGGAGAACACACAAACCCGGCAGCACACACACAAACTGCCCTTTTCTTGGTCCACCCAGGCCCCCCCCCTTTACATTAAGACATCACTGCTGACTTCAAGTGCATTCAGTTGCATGGATTAGCCTAAAATGACTAAACAAACGGGCCAGGAGGCTCCTGTGGAGAGCCGAACTCGTACTCGATCTTCTTTAGAATCGTTTTGTCACTTGGAAAGATGTGTTTTTTTTTTTTTGGGACCTGAACAACGAAGTTAAGGTGGACTGAAAAGAGGATTGATCTCGTTAACGTCCCAGAGTTGTGTTTTTTTTAAAGTACCCGTTTCACTGACAAAAGTTAGAAAGTGCATTCATGACCTGCTTCTCACCATTCAAGGGGCGACAGGACTAATGGTGGAACGACACCATGAACTGCGAGCTCGTTGGGATGACGTCAAAAGAAAAAACAAAAACAAACAAACAAACAAACAAAAAAACAGACCCAGAACAAGCCTTTTTTTTAAGACGAGCAAACCAAAAGGTGGGAAATCGCCGACTGCTTTTGGACGGAAACGTGCTCCACCTGTACAGGATACCTGGACCGGGCCAGTGTGTGTGTGTGTGTGTGTGTGTGTGTGTGTAGGTGTGTGTGTGTGTGTGTGTGCCCGGGGGCTGGCAGCTCAGGGTGCATGTTTAAACAGGCTGCGGCTGACTCACAATGATGATGTGGCCAGAGGGACCCCGGCTACCACACACACTCACACACACATACATATATACACATTCAAACGCACACACACACTCAGGCAAAGCACATGTCCATGTAAACACACTCCCACAGCAAACTGCCAGCGCCAGGCGTCCTCCCCACAGCAGCACCAGGCTCTAATATAATAACACCCCCCCCCAGGCCGGTTCGGTCCGGGGGCATTAGAGGACTATGGAGGCAGAGAGAGGGAGAGAAAAGGCCTGATTTGATCCCCTCCTGCCTGTAAAACGTGGCTGAGCTGGGGGAGATTATTTTTTTGGAATGCAACAGACATTGTGAGATCCCCCTCCCCTCCCCTCCCCTCCCCTTCCCTTGTTCCCCTCCCCCACCAACCAGCTGCAGCTGCACTCCTATTTGGCCTCTCAACTTGGACAGGTATTTATTGCTCTCTTCATCACACAGGTTGCCTTATGGTTGTGTGGTCCCTCGGGCTAAATGATTGGAATAAGACTAACGCATAAGCCTCCTTTCGTCCCCGCCCCGACAGCAGCCCACTACCTTTAAATAAACCCCCTCGCTAGCTCTGTTGGATATCTTTAGTAAAGCTGTGCAAACATAGAAAAAGGTGCTCGTCTATCTCTTCTTCGTACTCTTTGTCACCCTCGCTCCCTGCCAGTCCTTTAACCTGCGGCTAAATGCTACCCGCGCCTTGTCGCACAAGGACAGATTCCGAAAAACTGCACAAAGTTAAGCACATTCATTCAATCGACGTCCTAATCCCTCGGGCAGGATCTGTACATATCAAGTGTTAAGTTTAGGACAGATGGGTGACTAAATGTTTTTTTTTTTTCTTATCATCAAACATTCACACAGTTTTTTCATTCACCCACAAGCTTCACTCTGTGAGAAATATGACATCAAGCCTAATAGGAAAAATGTGATTGGTAAGTACACCTCAGCAAGAGGGGGGCCAATGTCACATCACCACCTGGTAATATATACACATGTATACAATTATAAAGTGTCAAGTACCCAAAGCAGTCAACAAAATGGAACCAAACAAAAGAATTAAGACAAATCAAAAGGAAAACAAAAATGCTGACATTGCAGTTTTGTGAGGGATAAGAGGCAACGTAGTAAAGCCAATAGATACATTGACAATGGTAGTGCTTCAGAAACACAAACCCTCCACCCCTCGCTTCCCCTAATCCTGCACACGGCGAGCCCCCATTCCAATGGATTTGACTCAAAAGGAATTTGTTTTTCAGTAAGACAAACCATAGATTTTCTAGATGCATTTTTTTTTTTTTTTTTTAAGAGTAAGTAACACTTCAATCAAACCCTTGCCTAATTCTTTCTGGAACATTTAGAGAAGAAAAACGGTTGCATCAAAACTGTGGCGAGTTTTTCTTGCATATACCATATTGCGGCAATTTAGTTTCTATGGTAACTGTACATTTCAGACCTGCAAAAGAATAGAAAAAGAGTCTTTTTTTTTTCCACTGGGAGGATTTGTCCTCGCTTCACCCGTACAGCAGCCAGAAGGTGCATGACAGTCACCTTTCTTAGAGCTCGAAGGCTGTGAGGACAGAACCAATAAAAATCTAAATCAACTGCATAGTTGCTCGGTTTCTTTGTATCTATCGTACATTTGCCTAAGCACATATGCCAATGTATAAAACCCCTCTTACAAAGAAAGAAATGGCCCAGAAAGTGGATGTCATGGGTGCGTGATTTGAAGCGTTCTTTGCTCTTTGACAAATAAACCAACTTAAGTGCTTGCAAGTCTGCTCTGGTTCCTAAAATAAAAGGAGAAGGAAATATAAAGATTAGATTTTTGTGACACCCTGATTTGGTTTATAGAGGAATAGTTAGTTGTCTTGTCTGTTTTTCTCTCTAAATTGCCTTTAGCGGGTTTCCTCCCGTCTCACGGGTCGTGCGGAGTGACCGTGGTGTCCAGCAGAGTTCTCCAGGAGGAGGAAACGGTCTCAGGGCCCCGCCCCCCCGGTCTCAGGGCCCCGCCCCCCCCGCCGGCTCCTGCAGCCCGGGACTGTGTGCGAGGTCTCCGGGGGCAACGCCCTCCAGCCGGGCGGGCCCCGGGTCGAGGCCCGGGCCGGGGCCCAGCAGGCCCGGGGGGCCCCCCAGGAGCCCCGGATCCCTCACCCGGGGTTTCCGGCCCCGGCGGGAGGGGATCCCGTTGCAGCCGTCCTTCTTGAGGTGGCGGTGCAGGTGGTCCGAGCGCACGAAAGTCTTGAAGCAGCTCGAGCACTGATAGGGGCGCAGGCCAGTGTGTACACGCATGTGGTTCTTCAGGTCGTAGTTGTGAGCAAAGGCAGCTCCACACTGTGTACACAGGTAAGGCTTCTCTCCTGTATGCTTCCGCATGTGAACCTTGAGCTTGTCCTGTCTTGAGGGAGAAAAACAAACAAAATGATGGTACAGACAAAAAATTCAAACGCACCTGGGATATCACATTTCAACCATCGGAATCTACACATGGCCAGTTTTTAGTCCTCCTCTATTCATCAGGTGGTTTCATTTCAGTTAGTCTTTATTTGAAACGTTTAATGTGCTCTGGCTTATTTAATTTCCCATTACCTGTAACCTCTTGGATCTCATCCAGATTTGTGAAGGCCAGTCCAAGAGGGGCCATAAACTTTACATTTTTATCTGTTACTGCACACACGGGCATGAAAGCTCAACGTTCAGTGCGTCAGTTGGCATTTTTACTATTTCTTTTAACCTTTACTTGGGGACAGCAGGATAACGACTGACAGAATGAAATATAAGTCAGTGTGGAAAACACTTGGCTTTATCTCTTAGATCCACGCTCTGTTTTTTATGTTAGCGCCACATTTAGAAACCTGATAATCAGGACAGAAACTGTACTCAACAATAGATATAAACATCAGTTCAGTTGCATCACGGTCAAACCTAAATATAAATTTTACATAAATGAATCTCGTTACTTTCTGGAATATTTTTAACTTAAAGTCCCACCATCCACTTAACTCCATCAGGCCACTTTGGCCTTCATCCGACTCTTGCCCTTACCTTCCCCCTTAAGCCCTTACTGTCTCTAGCTTCCAAGCTCTTAAATCATCTAACCTTTCTAAAACGAGGGCAGAGGGCTCCTAAACAAACAAGTGTAGTTTAGACAACTTAATTTGAACACACCTGCTATGTAAGTGTCATGTAAGTGGATTAGCTGTCATACGAGCAACTCTCACTGCTCTGTTCAAACTGTGCTCCAGATATTAAAATAAACTGAGGAACAGAAGTGCGGGTGAGCAGAAAAGCACACGCGAACACACACAAACTCAGATTAAACAACATGGCACACTGACAGAGGTGAGCTATTTAAAGGACAGGGGTGATTTATTACTGAGCAAGGCAAACCCTTAACCCCGAGCAAACAGGATTAAGATTACAATGCCCCCTTACCACGAATGGTCCAAATTAACTGGTGGGTTAGGTCAGACTGGTCTACCCTACATCCTGTGCCTGGAAAAGGCTCTGCATATTCCAAGCCTGTCCTGTGTCCTCCTGACAACATCCTGGTAATCAATCAATTAGAGGGATACTTTCAGGGAAAGGGAAAGACGTGTGCTGGGTTGCCATATTTTCTAAATGGCACAGAGAAAAGAGAGGTTGGTGTAGATACTCTGCTGTGGGCAATAATCAACATAACCACAGATCAAAAGTTCACATTACTGGATTGGAGCACAAAGGCCTGTAATGCCCCTCTGTATCAGAGCACAGGGCTTTATGGCTGCTGTCCGCTAGATAAAACCACCCTCATGCCACTGCCTTCTTTTATAGGACCCCTACGTTAAGATTCCAGGACTTTGCCATGTGGGCTGTCTCCATAAAACAGGCTTTTACAACGACCACGTCCCCTTTTTCAAAGTGGAATCAGTCCACATGCACCGTCTTACATTATGGCAAGAGCAACGTGGAATTAAAAATAAATTTTAAAAAGTTGGTGACCAGTCAGTTCATGAGGAACGTAAACACTTGGGGGGCCAAACACACGGCTCCTAATACACGGCTAAGGGGGTTAGCGCTAATGCTCCAGCCTTTGGCTTTGTGGTGTTTCCCACTGTTAGTACATGTGACATGAGGTAGTCCCTCCTTTAAATGGGCTTACCTGGTAAAGCGCACTTTGCAGATGGCGCATTCGTAGGGTTTCTCTCCCGTGTGCGTTCGGATGTGGCGGGGTAGCTTGCCTGCTCCTTGGATGACCTTGGAGCATATGGGGCACTTCTGGAAGGCCTTGGAGCGCATCTTCCTCTCCCCCCCGCCCCCTCCCCCCCCGCCCCCCCGCTCCCCGGCCCCCCTGTCTCCGCCCGCCCGGTTCTGCCCGCCGCCTCTCGACAGCCACAGCGACGGCACTCCCTGTGCGACGGCGGCGGCGGCGGAGGCTGCGTCCTCGTGCTGCGCGCTGCTAAAATAATTCAAGTAAAATTCCATGTCGGGGTCCTCCCCGCCGTCGCCCGGCTCCTCCCCCGCCGTGGAGCGCTCCTTCTGCCTCTCGATGGAGTCCATCATTTGCTGCAGGAGGGCGCTGGCCGGGCCCCTCTCCCTCGCCGCCCCCTCCCTGCACCCCCCCTCCTCCTCCTCCGCGTCCTGCCGAGACTCGGTGGGGATGTAGAAGTGGCCGTTTTGAGGCGGGGGGAAGTAGGCCGAGCCCAGGAAGGCGCCGTTCCCCAGCAGCGCGTCCCCGTCCTCGTCCTCCTCTTCGTCGTCCTCCTCTTCCTCCGGCCCTCGGAGCTGGGACAGGTGGAGCGCCAGGGGGGAGTAGTACTCACCGGGGCCGGCAGGAGCCCCGTTGCTAGGGGCGCTCCCATTACCGTGATTAAAGTGCAGGTGTGGAAGGTCCCTGAGCTCCGGCGTGCTGCAGCTGCTGCTCCAATGTGCCCCTCTCTGGAAGTACTCCAGGTACTCCCGGGCCCGCACCCGGTTCCCCTGCTCTGCTCTGCCTTTACCCTCTGCGTCTTCGTCTTCATCTCGTCGCTCATTGCCCGCCTAGAGGACGATAACAGGGAACAGAGAAAGGGTCAGAAACCAAACAAGGCAGATTATTTTGGGGGTTTTCCAAAATCAACAGGGCCCAATCTGCTCATGAGAACAGGCATGTCCTTAAAATAATTCAATTAATGAATTAAATAATTCGTAAAACACATGACGATTCTGTTTTTTTGTGAAAAACAAAAGCTGATGCATCTCTTTCACTGGTAACGTAACAAGAGATAACCGGACAAACTGACCCAGAGGGACTACAGGGCCCGACGTGTGATCCTCACATGATATGTGGCCTTATGTATTCAGGGGCCGCCCATCACAGCTATGGCGGATCATGTTGAAGAGGAGATGTGAGCTGTGTCTTTGGTCTGTGAAAGAGCGCGCTGCCTCTCCAAAAAAATGCTGTTGGCTCAGCATGAGTAAGTGCTGAACTTATCCCGAGCTGTGGGTGTGCGATTGGCATAGTGAGAGACACTGATAAAGGCCATGATGTAAGCCTGGCTATGCCGAATATTTAACTCATTGGCTGCCAAAGACGTCTAGACGTCAATTCAAATCCAACCGCTGACTGCCAAAGACGTCTATAGACGTCTTTTATGTTTTTCAACGCGAGTGGCTTGGGGGACGATCCGCTAAAGCTTGTCCGTAAATATCAGGCTTCTAGACAGAGTATGTAGTAACAAATTGACCCTCTAGGTAGCAGTGCCACTTTTGATGGGAGATGAGCATAGACTGTAGGCAAATAAGAAAAACGCAATGGTTCGCTATGCGAGAACATGTCTACTCTTTCTTTTGGTGTGTTCAGTGTTTACATAGTCATGGCACAAACTATTCTGTGGCTCTTAAAAAATCAGTCAAAATGCTCAAAAAACTCTGGCAGTATGGGACTCTCTGTTCTGAAAATGGCTGGCAGTCAATGAGTTAAAGAGGTGGGTGGTACGATGACCGTGTGCCCTGTTTTTTATTTCGAATATCTACCAACAATATCGCCGAGCTAATCCGGTTCAACAAACACCCCCTCAGACTCAGAGCAATGGGCTCGTGCTTCAAAAGGAACCGTTAACAGGTGTAACTTTCGTACCGGCGGGGAGAGCACTTTGGTGTCCAGCAGGTGTGTGCAGACGTCCTGGACGGGGGGGACTTCCAGGAGGCGTGCGGCAGCCAGGATGTCGGCCACGCTGCCGTGGCTGACGGTCAGCGTGGCCGTGTAGGCAAAGTCCAGCAGGGCCCCCAGGGCCTCCGCCGCCACGAAGTCCAGGCTGTAGACGTTCTGCTGGTCGGCGGCGGCCCCGGAGGTGAAGAGCTTGTGGAAGTAGGAGCTGCAGGAGGCCAGGACGGAGCGGTGCGCCGGGAACTCCCGCTCCTGCGCCACCAGCACCACGTCGCACAGCAGCCCGCTGAGCCGCTGCTGGTTCAGGCTGCCCAGCACGTCGGCGCTGTGCTCGGGGAAGGGGACGCCCACGGGGCCCTCCTCCGCCTCCCCCCCCCCGCCCCCGCCCGCCGTCCCCCGCGGACGCCTGCCCCCCCGCCCGCCGGCTCCTGACGACATCTTCCACCAGCCTGCCGCCGAGCCGCCCAGCACAGCCCCCACCCGTGTATCCGTCCTGCCGTCTGTCCGTCTGCCTTTCTGAGAGTTGAAGAGAGGGAAAGGATTATCAATACTTTTGTCATGAACTCATGAGAGAGGCTTTCTGACCCAGAAATATGCACCAGTACACACAAGGTATTAGACTTCTGAAAAATAAAGTAGTTGGAGCTCTTGACGACAAATTAAGGACACACACACTCTAATATTTCTGTTGGATATTATTAAATAATTTCCCTTAGTGATTATTAAAGTATTTCTGATTCTGATAGAAAACTGGAAACAATGCCACAAAAAAAAAAATATATGGACGACAAATTAAGCACACACACACTCTAATATCTCTGTAGAATATTATTAAATAATTTCCCTTAGTGATTATTAAAGTATTTCTGATTCTGATAGAAAATTGGAAACAATGCCACAAAAAAGAAAAATATATGGATGAGTACCACTCCATAGAACGTCTATAGTTTTGGAGAAACATGCAAGAAATGTGTCCAAAAATATCTCATGGAAACATCTACAACACTTAGTCTGCAGGCTTATTCCATATGAACTCATTTCCTTGTTATTATAGTGTCTCCTAACTTTCATCCATCCACAATGAGTGGTGATTATCCATATATAAAAAATTGTTTACGTGTTCCTGAGCCATGCTTTATTTATGTTTTATGTGAGAAGAGCATGACATTTCAAGATTAAAATGCAAATTCTTATGTTCAACCATCCAAATCAAACCCCTTTTAATCATGTGTGATCTATAAAGAAAAGAAAAAGAAAGCAAAAGACCCAGTTTGCCTTAAGAAAGTACCCTAACTTCAAACACGTGTGTGCCTGACCCACCACTGAACTGAGCCTTGAGACAGTGTCTTAGGTAAGTGGAAAGATGCCATATGGTAACACCACAGTGCTGCACATCACAACTGCTCAGAAGTTATTTTTAAAAACAGACGAGCTCAAACAGCAGGAGAAACAGAAAGATGACAAAGTGCAATAAATGAGTTTCTTAATCAATAAGCTCACGCCGTTTATTCGGTAGCGAACGCTAATCTGTGTGGAGATATTTCTGTTTCTGCGCGTGCCTCCAGGTGCCCGTTTCTTGAATATATGAATACATCGATGGGAGTGTTCAAGCAGTCGTGCAAGAAATCAAGCAAGAGGTCGAAGAGGACAGATAAGCAGAGGGCTGTGGGGATCAGAGTGCATGCTGGGAGCTGGGCTGAGCAGCCTAGGCACTCTGTGTCGGTTGAGAGCCAGAGAGGGAAGCAAGGGAGGGGGAGGAACAAGGGGAGAGGAGGGGGAGAGGGGCTGCCAGGGCAGACCCTGTGGAAAAACTCCACAGGAGGAGGAAGAGGACACGCAACAAGCTGCAAGGGAACAGTATTAAAAAGGGAGGTTGTCAATCCGGTCTGAGCTGGTTACCCCACCCTGTACTGTGTGCCAAGTTTCAGAGAAGGCCTGTCCCCTCGCTCACGTGTGTGCGTGTGTGTGTGTGTGTGTGTGTGTGTGTGTGTGTGTGGTGGGATTAAAATGATCGAGTGAAGCCCTTCGCAGTGGGAGGGGGTTTCAGCAGAATAAGCCATCCTCAATTTGTCTATCAGAACACTCCCACACAAATAAATAGAGAAAAGTCAATAGCACATACAGCACACACACACACGAACACACACACACATCAACACATATGGGACATCCACACTGTCCAGCTCTCCTCCCCCCTTCTCCATCTGCCAGGCAGACCCAGCAGGGGGCAACACTGCAGGGATGCGTTAAATGTGTTGCTCTCGACAAGATTCGAAACCCTCCTTCAAGATAAATCTCGCCGGTATGTTTATATTTAACAACCCACCACCAAACCTGCCTAACCTGGCTGCCCCTCCTCTCTCGCCCAACGGCTTTCACATCCTCTTTTCTCTCTGCTGTACTTTGTTCTACGCCCACAGAGAGGTGGCTCTCCGTCCCCACACCTGGGACATTTCAGCCTGACATATGTGCCCACGGGTCGGTCAGTTTTTACCCTGACCTCTGCCACGGGGCCAGCGGGGGGGCCCAGCAGATGTTTGTTTCAGCTTCTTGTCGTTCCCTAAATGGGTCACAGAAGCTTTCCACGCAGCAAAATGTTGGGCCGAAGACAACGTACAGATAAAAGCCGGTGCGTCCGGCTAACTGTGATAAAGATATCTAATGGCTCCATTTACTTTAATCACTTTTCTATATATTGACTGAGTTTTGACTGCGGAAATGCTTCGGAAACACTACTGAGGGCTTAGTAGTAGTCTGAATGCAGACAGTCAGGCATGGAAACTGCAAATTTTATTACCCAGCCTCTCATCTGAATATGTTGGGGGGGAATGGGGGGGGGGGCGCGGGGGGCGAGGGCAAAGACAAAGGGGGAAACGGATCTCTGAGAGGCCACGCAGACCCGAGCCCCCCCCAGGCCCCAGCCCCCCCCCCCCCCCCCCCACACACACACGGCTCACCCCTGGGTCACGGCTTTGTGGGGTAAAGACTCTGAGCTGAGAGGAGATAAAACACACAATCACACATGCATCAACATCCGCACACACGCATGGACACACACACAACTCGATCCAGAGCCAACGAAGCACGGAGCCGGAGCCACCTGTCCCCACATAAACCTGCAAAGAACACTCGGAAAGAGGAAACACAGGGCCACAAACCTGATCCTGACACCTCCTCATGGCCTGAAACATTCCTCATCACTAATTCATGCCTGTGGGTGACGGGGCCGGCAGCCCGGCTCAGAGCAGGGAACTCGTCCACTCGTCCACTTTCAGGGAAAAGGCCTCCTCAGACCATGAGCACCCGGCCCTGCTTTGCAAGTCAAACAACAAAAGGGCCGACCCACCTCCAGCCTCATCACCTCCAACTCATCTCTTCACGGGCTCACGGAGTTTCTGATTCGCTGACCAACACAGGGCACAGACACAGCCAACTCGCCCGTCATTCACGGGCAAAAGCAGAACAGCAGCGTTTGGTGGGAATCGTGGAGAGTAGCTTTTATTTTGGCTGACAGGGAAGGTCTCCAGAATTTCCCCTCTCAAAGTATCTGTATCTTTGCCTGACACATACCAGTCATTCCTAAATACAAAAGAACACACGGCGTTAACTCTGTATAACCTCTTATGTTTCGTGGAAAACTAAATAAAAACATTATCAGGACTTTTAAAGAATTATCAACATTTTCCTTAAAAGAAAATCCTATAAACTGTCCACAAGCAAAAATCTCATCGTTCCCTTCCTAAATCCTTAAACTTCAAAGAAAGAATCTTCAAAGAAAGAAAGTAAAATTGAAAAGCAGATGACAGGTCTCTGACATGTTAATGGAGCAGTTAGTCAACACAGAGCAGTTGTTAAATCTCCAATAAACACCACGTTGAATGTGATTATCTTATCACAAAGAAAATTGGGACGTTTTAGTGACTTGTCTGAATTCCAATTCATTTAAATTTGAAAGCTCCTTAAATGCTGCAGAGACGTTTCTGAATAAAGTCATAAAATCAGAAAAATAACAGGTAGAAGACTTAAACCCCCACCAGCCCCCTTCTTGTGTCATGAAGTAACTCAATTGTCTCCATGGCAACAAGCTCACAACCCTTTGCAAGACAATCACCTTGATCGGGTCAAGAGGGTTCAAGGTTGGACCAGGAGGATATTTGAAGATAAGTCGAATGGGGAGGGGGGCGGCAGTCCTGAGGAAAAGTGGATTTTGACTAAGTGCCACAGCTCAGTGAGTCACTGCTGCCAGAAATGGAAGGAAACCTGATTGGCCGTACTGGGAATGGAGCAGGAAGGGGGTAAGTGACTGATAAAACTCAGGGCTGGTCTAGCGCTGGCAGCTTTCACTAGAAAACTAACCAGGAAGTGCTGCCAAAACACAGACACAAAGCCAGAGAAAAGGTGGTGGGTGAGGCAGGGCGGGAAATGTTCTCGCTCCCTCCCGACCGGGCGCACGGCGGCTTAGGAATCCAGCTCAGATGTCAATGATAAACCAACAGCATCTTATTCAGGTGCCTGGTGTAACTCGCCGCATTCAAACAAAAGGCGATAACCCTCAGGTTGGGCAAAGTTTCATTTGAGGAAACCGGCCGGGGGGGTTTATGGCGTCCTTACAGTAAGCACTCATAAAAGCTCCCAGTCTGTGGAGAGTTTCCTACCACAGAGGGTCTCTCTGCAGCCACAAACATAAAAACAATGCAGAGAGACATCAACACAAACACTGAAATTCATCCGTGAATCTCATCAACAAGGCCAGTGACCCCCACCTATTCTTCTCCCACCCCCCTCTACCTCACTAATTTACCCAATGCTACTGTCAGCATTTTCTGGTCTGTCGTTGCACATCAACATTGCAAATTTCAATTGTTCATTTGCACATTCAGTTCTATATTTTTAAAGATTGTATTTTTCAGTTTTATCATTTCTGTTCTATATTTTTATTTCTACATTTTATTTCCTTCCTTGCTTCTCATAGAAGACACCAAAGCAAATTCCTTGTAAGTCTAAAAACCTACTTGGCAATAAACCTTATTCTGATTCTGATCAACCTTTGGGAAACCCTCTAAAATATTTCTTCCCACAGAATCAGACTTTGGGGTTTATTGCTTTGTCACGTCTCCACATTAACCATCACAACCATCAGAAATCAGCTTTAAATATGAGGCCTTGACCCCTAAACAGCTCTCTTCCCCTCCCTTCTTTTAAGGTTGGTACATATAGAGTTGGCTATTTGTTTGGATCACTAGACACATGTTGCAAAGTGTCACAAACCGATGGTGTCCGGCGTGCACCACTCTGTTCATGCGCAGTCCGGCGGGGAAGGAGCACTTCCTGTGAGTCTGTGGCCGGCGTGTAACAGAACCCGCTCTGTTATCAGATGACCAGCTCCCTGCTCTGCTCGATCTCTCTGTCCCTACCGTCTGACCCCCCGCCCCCTTCCTCTCATCTGTCGCTCTCATCTCATCATTGCTCCATCTCCGTCTTCCACTCTGCTCTGCGAACTACCCACCACAGCGCCCACTTCCCCTTTCCCACTGCTGAGGAGGCAAAGCTGCACTGACCCACCCGCCTCAGCGTCTCGCCATCCTTTAACGAAACCCCCCCTCTTCTCTTTTGCTGCAAACCAGATCCTGTAACGTGGACGCTTACTGTCAGACTGGACACGTGTCACCTTCCTAATCAAAAGGAGCTTCCGAGTACAACGTCTAACATCAATGAAACAGTCAACATTTGTTGATTTTTTTTTTAGGCTCACAAAATCCCACTGTTTTATTCTAATTGGTGTTTTTTTTTCCCTCCCCCAAATACCATGAAAATCCTCAGTGTCCCGCATTTTAAGTTTTATCCCCTCTCTGAAAAACATCTCAGACCTCACTCTCCTACTCTAATTTGATCAGGTTGTGTTGGCCTCTCCATAATAAATGTCCCAGAAGGGAACAGAAGAAGCCCCTTTACTCCCCCTAGTCGTCAGCACAACAACAGGAAAACAACAGAGAGGGGTCTGTGTGTCTAGCCAGGCTGGAAGCTGTGGTATACTGAGCAGCTGACCAGGGGAACCAAACATTACGGGGAAGTGAAGCTGCGTTTACTAAGGAAGAGGCTGGTGAAACGAGACAAACCGTACCAAAACGCTACAACTTATCCACACGCTCTAATCTCTGTGTCCAGAACAGCAGCTTTTGCTGTGAAATACAACCGAATTCCCCAGCGCGAACCACAATAGATCATTTAACCACATAAATAAAACTGCGAGCAAACACAATCTGACAGCTACATGTAATTCGGCGTATACTGCCAACTTTTCCACCCGGAATAAAGCCTTAAACTGCCACGGCGACATCGCGAAACCTGTCCTCTCGGGCTGCCTGAACCTGCTAGTTTCGGGCCATAGTGGTGCAGGCACAAACATACAGGAATATCAAACTGTACTCAGCCTCACCGCCAAATTGATGGGTGGTGTCTTGGACCTGCCCACAGCCACTGAAGTCCCCTGCAATTCCACTGGAGTCTATTGTTGGTAACACTGACGTGTACGCATGTGCGCACACAAACACACGCTCGCACATACAAACACATATGGCGTCCTAGTTTAACCTCTTGCTGGAATGCACTTGAAATCACTGGACTTTTTCTTCCGTAGAGGCACATAAGAGGCAGCCAGCAGTGCAGCACATGCGGCCGAAAGCACCGACTACAACTCAGATATTTTTGTGATACCGGAGTGAAAAAAATAAATCACCTTCATCTCTTCCGACCAGCGTTCGGAGAACTTTCCCAGCATTTGGGCGTCTTCGCGTACCGCGCTCCTCTTTTACCCCCTCTGCGCCCGCACGTTTAAAAAACGGGTTTAACAAGTATGCAAAGCCAAAAAAAATATGCATCTGGTTGTCGAGGAGTGCAGTCACAGGGTTGCTGGGAAGCCCTCGAACGAGGAGCCAAACGCCAAGCGTTTTTACACGGAGGGCCAGATTCCAATCTGCTCTGGGAGACACTGAAGATGCAGCCGGAGCTCCCCGGCAGGAAGTTTTATTCCAGCATTGAATGGACTTAGCCGGGGCAGCTTAGCTATCAGCGAACTTCTGCTGGCGTGTATTGTCCTTATTAAGAAGAAATGCAGCTTTGTGATGCGTCTCCACCTGGATCCTGTCAGCTGTGGGCCCGGCTCCCCTGCCACTGGCCTTTTCTACAGGATGAGGATGTGCAAATCATCTTCTTACTCCACCACTAATGCCACAACGCCTCCTAATCACAGAGCTAAACTAAAACACAAAACGAAAGTTGTCAGGATGAGAGTACGGCCTCCGAACGGCCTCTGAGCAGCTTCTCATGCAGCACCTTACTATCTGCACTGACCTATTTGTTCTTCCCTCTTTTATTTGCAACTGGGTCAAGAACTCTGAACTCTATCAAGCCCTTCTCCTCTCACTCTCCTTCACCGGCAACATGCAGTGGGGTTTTTTTTCCCCCTCTCCTCCTCTGTCTGTCTTTCTCCTCCTCGCTCAGTCACAGGCTAAAGACAGCGTTTGTGTGCATGTGCTTACCAAACAAGCAGAAAATGTTTGGTGGGCCCTTCCTGCCTCCTCGTGCCTGCTGGCCAGCTCTGCTGCCTACGTCTCTGGGCAGGGCTGCAGCATTACCAGACAGGAAACTTGTGAGTGGCCCTAGTCATACAGGCAAGCCCTTGCCTGATCCCACACAAACACCTACCCCCCCCCATCCCATCCCATCCCATCTACCACCACCCTACCCCCCTCTATTTTCAGCCCACAAGTCAGCTCCGCATCCCCTCCTCTCATTGGCCGGTCTCAAACTCACTCACCACACCTCCCCGTTCAGATAGGCTGGCAGCTCTTCCCTTTCCTGGATGGCCGAGGGCAAGGCACTCTGGGAGACGGAGTCCTGGAGCCCCATGTGACCTGGTTTACAGCCCCCGTCGTGGACTACGAGTCCCAACTCTTTCTGCCCTCACCACCCCCTCGATCTCCAAGTCTGCTCTAACGTAAGCACTCAGGACTGAATTATACACTACAGTGTGTTGCTAGCAGGCTGCCGTGTATTAAAGTACAGACCAGCCATCAAGGCTTCGGCGGGGGGGAAACCAAACTACCAGCTTTCAGCCTCGAGTGTCCCGGGAGTCCCGGGGCATTACACACAGATTCCTTCAGCCACTCGCGCTCTCGAGACGATTCACACACACTTTAAAGTCCTGACCCAAATGGACTTATTGCCTCTGTAAATAGTCCCACAACACAACAGTACGCCCTCCTCACACCCGGCCTCTCTGCCACAACTGTCCCCAAAAGTTGTTGTCATGCACGTTCCTTGTCCAATACAATTATTTCTGGTTCCTCCTCTCCTATTCGCTCAGTGCACCCCCCCCCACCCCCTCCTCTCCTGAGAAGCCCTCCACTCCTGTCCCCACCTCCTGCTCTAAGTGCTTCCACCTGCCTGAAAAGTTAATGCCTCGAAAAACATCAAATAAACTTTATCTTAAGATTCCCCGGGGGCGGAGAGCTGTACAGAGGAAGTAGTTTAGGAAGAATTTGAAAAAAGAGGAACCTTGACTATGGGGACTGCTGCGACCCACCTCTCCTCCCCGGCCGACCCCCCCACCCTGCTCTGCTTTCTGGCCCCCTCCCTCATTCCTCCCTCTCTCCTGTCCTCCCCTGCCCTGCTCCCCCGGTGCTCGGCAGGCCCGGGGCGGGCGGGGGGGGG